ACCTAAAACAGAGACTTTAATTCTAATAACTCTCAAAAATTGATGCTCTCTGTTAACTCTGAACTTTCATTTGTTTTTAGACCTCAGTTTTCAATCACAGGAGGTCGAAATATGCTGAAGTTAAGTGTTCTAGTAGATGAAGGATTATTACTAGGAAGGCTAAAATACCTCCAAGTCAAATGACCACATAACCTCTACAAATATTTATTACTGTAACCTCTACAAATATTTATTACCTTGTTTATTCATTCAACCATTCAACAAAGATTTATTTAGCCTGCACTAGGTAAAATACTCACAAAATAACCCTAAAATCTACTTTTAAAAGGTACAAGTATATATTCTTTTGAGGATTTTTGATAGTGCTCCTTTCTCGAAGGAACCAGACACTAAACAAACATTTTAACTTTACATCTTAAAACTGTTAACAGCATATCTAACTTTTTAAAAATCACACACATTTTTTTAATGCTGCTATGAAACCAAGAGACAAAAGAAAATGTTTGCTTGGTCCAATGGAAAAGAAAAGTCCTCCAAAACTAGCTGACCTCAGAAATGGTGGAGTGCAAAAACTGCGCAAATATACTTTAAAATCTCTCTCTCATGAACACCAGCTGAACCTCAGAGTCTAAGCGTGGGAAGTAATCCCTTTTTCCGTCTTGCATTCTCTGTCTTTGCTCTATATCTTTTGTCTTTTCTCACTGTTTGGACACATTTAATTGAGGAAGATGGAACTGGTGAAGCCACACTGAAAACTACCCATCGGAAAAATCAGGAAGGAATGATGAGGGCACATCTAACAGTAACAACAAAACAAAACAGAAAAGTTTGCTGACAAGAAAGAAGAAAAGGTTTTGTAGCATAATTTAAAGAACAAATACTTCCTGGTGTCTCTTCTCTGGAAGGCAGGATGCAGCAGCACCGCGTAGCAAACCGATATGCCTACCATGAATGATAAAATGGATGCAAGAAGATGGTTGCCCAGAAAAAAAAGAAGACTGGTAAATGTTCTGTTCTGAGAAGGGAGATGTACTTTATTGGGGAAACTACACAATAATTAACTACTAAGAATGAGCCAGATGTCCCTATATTAATAGATAATTAAAAAATAATAATAATGTTGAAGGGTGCTTGGGTGGCTGAGTTGGTTAAGCATTCCATTCTTGGTTTTGGCTCAGGTCATGATCTCATGGTCCGTGAGTTCAAGCCCCAAGTCCAGCTCTTCATTGATAGTGCAGAGCCTGATTGGGATTCTCTCCTCCCCCTTTCGCTGCCCCTTCCCCCCCCCCCCCACAGACACAGACACAGACACACACATACTCTCTCTCTCTCTCAAAATAAATATTAAAAAAATAAAAAAATAATGTTGAAGAAAAACAATTTGCAAAGGTATAAATTCACTATGCTCTCACCTAGGTAAACTTAAAAAAAATTATATATATATATATATATATATATATACAGATTTATATTAGTTATGGATATATATCTATACTTCCGTAAACAGTATATATAATATAATATGACATACTATAAATGGAATAATATACCGAAATCTTATTATAGTTAATATTTCCTCTGGGGATGGATGAATAGGAAGGATGGTGATTTTTTTTTTGCTTTAAAAAAAGAAATCCAAAGTAAATATGAGCCTATCAATATATTAAAATATGGGGGTGGATACATAGGCTTTTTTATTTTCTACAGACTTAAACTACTTCAGAATAAAAAATACAGTTTAAAAATTTTGTGGCTTAAAAGAAAGATGTTGTAGAAACTTAGGCTATTAGAATGAGCTATTCCAGTAAGTCCAATTTTCTTACTTTTGAGCCTAGAATATACAAGGCTGATTATTTTCCATCTTTAGCAAGAGGAACAATGGAGAGCTAATGTAGAAGAAAAGACTGTCCTTGATATGATAAGTCAGTGGCACTTTTGGCAAATGGATGATAATTTCCAGATGGAAGTGAATTATCTGAACATAATTATATTGAATCCTCTGCTTTAAAAGAGTGTTTCAATCATACGCTATCCATGTAAGTCACTCTTTTCTTCCTTATGGGGTATGAATGTGAGGTTTAAGGGATGGTTAATGGATGCCACATTCTCATTACTCCTAAAAATGTATAATTAGAGACTGGATTTTGGAATAATGCTTTGCACATTTAAAGTATTGATTAGCTGTTCAAGACCACAGTTGACTTTTGTTTTTGTTTTTTACCCCTCACAGAGACTTCCTTTTTTTAAATTTTTCGAAACTGCCATTAAGCATTTTCTAATGTAATTCCAAGGAGCTCATGGGTACTGAGGTACTCTAGCAGGACGGAAACTTACATTTTATTAACTTTGGATCATTTGCAATTCTTAGAATTAATAGCAAAGAGCCAGAGAGGTTTTTTGGTTTTTTTTGTTTTTGTTTTTGTTTTTGTTTTTGTTTTTGTTATAATCATCATGGTAAATAAGCCTGAAATGTTTCACTAGCGAGGCAGGAGTCACAAGATATATTGTTAAATATGAGGGCTGAAAATATATCACAGACACGAGTGGTATTACGCAGTACACATTTTCTTGAAAAAAGTAGTCTCCACACAGGAGGATTAGATATATACCCACAATAAGAGGGCATATTGACCTATAATTTTCAATATTACATCCTTGTATTTTTTATTATATGCAATTTTTCAGCTACTAGAGGAACATGGTCTCATAAAGCTAATATTTATTCTTCCATGTTTATAGAGCTAGTAGTGCATTTCAGGAAATGAGAAGCTGAGAAGTCAAATATAACTTGGTGTCTTGTGCACAAAAGAAGACAGAACAGGAAAATCACTGTGTTTAAAAAACCTGGCTCAGCAACTCAGTCATAAAGCTTTAAATAACTAAATAATATAAGGGAAGCCATAGATATTATTTGTCTCTTCATACATGTAAGCCTTTTTATAAATGACAAATCTTATCATGTAGGATTCCTCAGTTTACTAGAAAGCAAAGAGGTCTTTAGTCCAGTCCTTTTTTCATCTCTGTACTTACCACATGTATTTTGTAGAACTAAGTATAATCTATTCTAACAATCCAGATACTCCTACTTGGCATTGTATCTTTAGGTCGTGAATTCTTCTCATTTTGTTAATAAGTAACCTTTGTAAATTCAGTGATTTCTTAACATTAAATCAAAAAAGAAAAATAGGGGGCGCCTGGGTGGCTTAGTCGGTTAAGCGTCTGACTTTCGCTTAGGTCATGATCTCGCGGTTCGTGGGTTCGAGCCCCGCGTCGGGCTCTGTGCTGACTGCCAGCTCAGAGCCTGGAGCCTATTTCAGAGTCTGTGTCTCCCTCTCTCTCTGACCCTCCCCTGCTCACGCTGTCTCTCTCTCTCTCTCCTAGAAATAAATAAAAATATTTAAAAAAGAAAAAGAAAAATAGGAGTGAATGAGAATTTGCTTTTCTTTGGAAAGGTATCTGTATTTTGGTAAACGTCTCAAGAAATCAGAGCCTTAGCAAACCTTCTGTGGGAGAAGTTTTCCAAAGCTCTATTGGTTTTAATATTCTTTCAATTTACAACTTTCCTTGGGACCTTGGAAGGATCCAGAAGGATCAAAGTCATCAAGTCATTTCCTCATTCTCTGCTTGAAGAATGAAGTAGGGGCCACCAATAAGCAAGTGAAGGAGAAGAGAGAAAAGCTGGTGGCGGGTGGGGGAGGCAAGGGATTTTAGCTTGAAGAGAGAGAGTTTCAGCTGCAATCAAGAGCCCTTTAAGCTCCCCTAAAACTGATTCTCGAATTTCTGAGGAAGCCCATGACATAGAGCAGGGATTTGAAACTAGGGCTCATGGTGAAAAGGCAGTGAAGAAATATTCATTATTTACCTTTTTTCCATCTTCTCTTTTACTCCTTTCTCTCCCAGTGACTGAGCTAATACCTTTGTAAACATCAACCCTACTATTTCCTCTGGGTTCCAGGTCCTGTCTTTCCCCTAAATCCTCATAGCTGTCCTCTCTTTGCTATTTTCCTGCACTGAGTTTGGATACTACCTTTCCCATATCCATGTTCCTATATCAAACAATAGTGATCTCCTTTCTACACCAAACCAGAAATTCTGGTCTTCCAAAAGAGAATTCATAAATGCATGGTAGTGTGTTTCTGGACAGCTGAGAAATAAATGTAAGCACAGAGTAGAAGTATGATGGAGCGGGAAGAGAATGGCACCCAGTGTAAAAACTGGGTTTCTGGCCACAGCCCCACCCTTCACTCAATTCTGCCAGTTTTAGCATCCTCAATTCCAGCTGAGGAGTTCGTAGTCTGGGCTGTCCTGGTCGTCTTCAGGCAAATGTGAAGTAGCTCTGAATGTGGTTATCACAATGACTGGATGCTGAGGGAGTTCCTGGAAACCAGGGCTATTAACCGTTCTAGAACCCGTGGGACAATCTTGCATCATAAAGAACTGCCCCCCCCCACCTTGAAATGTCAATAATGGCTCCACTAAGAAACACTGATAGATGATTTTTAATGCTCCTTCAATCAGTCTGGACTCTTAAACTTAAGTGGAGTGTAGAGATCTTTAGAGACTCACAAAAGAACTGTGAGGATACGCAAATTTTCAGATAATACAATTTGATAGAAAAAATTCAACAAAATGGGTTCATTTCTCCTGAAGAGAAAAAGGATGACTTGATAACTGAAACTGTGATGACACAGGAGGGGCTCTGACCAGTAAATTCTCTGCCTCCACGGAAGAAGGAATGCACTGTCATGCTAGGAGCTTGGGGATTACCTTGGCCTTCATGACAACAAGATTTCTAAGAAAGCAAAATCTCTATTAGGTTTAAAAAGGAAAGTGGATACCTAGGTATGAAGGTTTGAAGACAAATAGATTCTCAGACAGCTCAGGTGGGATCTTGCTTATAGACGAGGGAAGAACGTTTAGGTAACTTCTGAAGTCCTCTCTAGCACCTCTGTTTCTATGGATACACTTATTAGGTTTCTATACACTATGATTTGCTACCAAATTGACAGACTGGAAAGTTAAAGATGGAGGCACAACTTCCCATCCCTCTCCTCCGATGCGTCCTGCGTGCCTAACTCTTCAAAGTGCGTCAGTCATGAGGCACAACAAAGAAGGGTGCAAAGGGAAAACTGGAATCTAGCCCAGCACTGCAGTGAAATCTACTTTGATTTCTCAGTAGAAATAAAAGAAATAAAAGAAAACCCACAGAAAAGGGCCATTAGAGGAGAAAACATTTGTCACCCTGGACAGAATAAAAGTCCAACCAAATGAAATAAATGCCTGTGGAAAAAGACGTGTCGTTCTAGGAAAAATACTATGTTCCTTCTCCCTTGCTCTTCATTGAGTTTTTGTCCACTCAATGTACCGGGCTTTACCCTCACCCCTGTTTATTTTTCCATCTATGAAAGATGCATGGATCGAATTCAGCCTTCGGGTAGGTCTTTGTCAGAAAGTACTTTCAAAATAAAAGTGTTTTACTTGGCACTATCTCAACAGCAAAAGATGTACTTTCAAAATAAAATGCTTGCTTTGCTAGCAAGTTTTTTGATCGAGTAAACAACAATATTGTTAGCAATTTTTCAAGCTGTTAATATACACATATTAAAAAACAACAACAACCCTGCTCTATCGTTATAAATCACAGGGTGAGATCCCTTGGTAGAGCTAAATGAAAACACCCTGGCCACTGAGGCTTTATAATTTAAAAGCTGTCATAATAATAATACTAGTTGATATTGACAAATGAGATTTTGATTTTTAATGCTTCGAAACAGAATTTATCTACAAGGTCTCTAACTAATTGATAGCACTTAACAAAATCTGATATATAGAGACATTCACTATAAATTTATTAAATCTATTCTATTAGAATTTATGAACCCAAAAATAAAATTTGTTGTAAGCCAACAGGGGGGATATTGTATTTCTAATATCCTTGTAATATTCTACAGAGTATACAATAGTAAGTATGAGAAGCAGCATATCAAATTTCTTTTCATTTTTATCTGTCTCCCAATGAAATCAAAGGATTACAAACTGTGCATAATCTACTTACAGAGTTCTTTTTACAATGGAGTAGGACTATTATCCATTTTTAAAATATCCCTCAAAATTAATATCTTCACTAAGAGAAATTTAAAAAAAAATTAACACAAACCTTAAGACCTCCAGCAGATCAGAAGACAAATATGTTCTCTGAGAAAGTAGTTGAAACAATGTATTCACAAGAGTCTTTTAAATAGAAGCTGTTCACAAAGGGAGTCCCACAGAAGACAGTGTGGCTTTGACATGCCAAGTGCTTCTGAAAGGAAAGAAAAAAGCATACTATTAGGAAGTATCCAAGTATCATTACTGCCAGTCCCAGCCATCATTGTCTGTATTAGCACCAATTACTATTATTAATACAATGGTATGAATTTCTGTAGCCTTGTGCCCCCCAAATCTTATTTGTAAATGGCAGGGTGGGACATCTCTCAGCTCTGTATCTAAAAACATTTAAAAATCAGGTGTGTGTTACTAACTCTACTTTTCTCGTTATCTAAGCAGGGTAGGATTGAAGAACCGTACACGGGGCATGAAGACAGGCGGCAACATTGGTATTTAAGGGATGCCTCCCAGCACATCAAGGGCCTGCATGTATATGGGCTCTTTAATTTGAACCACAGGCCTGCAGTTGGGAGAGAACTGGCTCCATTTTACAGATGAGAAAACTAATGCACAGACTCCTGATGTCGGGCTTAGAACCCAGGTCTGTAAAAGTCCAAAGGCTTCATGGCTGGCTCTTTCCCTCATTTCACTCTGTGGCCTATGTGATTTACAAAATATATTTTTGTAATTTTTTAATGTTTGTTTATTTTTCAGAGAGAGAGAGATAGAGTGCAAGTGGGTGAGGAACAGAGAGAAAGGGAGACACAGAATCCGAAGCAGGCTCCAGGCTCTGAGCTGTCAGCACAGAGCCTGACACGGGGCTGGAACTCGTGAACCATGAGATCATAACCTGAGCCAAAGTTGGAGGCCTAACCGACTGAGCCACCCAGCTGCCCCTAGAAAAAAGATATTTCACAAACAGAATTGACAAGAGAACAGAAAATACTGCAGTTTATTAAATTAATTCAAATATCACAAGTTAAGACATTTTCTTTCCTAATTTGTTTTAGTTTTATGTAGAGAACTGTCTTAATGGAGTCACAGGAAATCCAGACCCCCAGGTCTAAGCAGGGCAGCCTTTCTCCCATCTTTGCTCTTTATGCAAAGTGAGAAGACTCATCAGAAAGTCTGCAGCCCCCCTGCTAATGTGACGTTGCCAGTTTGTGTGTTGTGTTACATCAAGGATAGCAGCCCTGTCTTCTTCCTCTGGTGCCTCCGCATAACCCACTGTCCCTTCCCTGTAACAGTGAAAGAGAACACTGCCTTCCACTAAGGGAGTTCCTGCTACAGTTGGGAATGGAAGCCACGCCTTCTGTGGCATCTCTGAGTGGAATTCCTGTATCTCCTCAGGGCTCTGTCCATCTTAACGGCCGAAGGTGCCTGGGAGGGCTCAGCGGGGCACCGTCTAGGTTTCCATTCTCAGTTTTAGTCAAATGTCTATGTTTTTCCAGTAGCTCCAGTGCCAACAGAGAGCCCCTCAGCCTACCCTCCACCAGCTGTCCCAGCGCCCCCTCTTACAGGGTGTTTCAGGGTCATTGCCCACCAATAACCACTTCAAAATCTCCCTCAAGGTTCCAGCTTTTAATGCCACTGACTTCTGAGTATTGGGACTTTGAGCTCAAGTCCACACGGCATTTGGGGAGAAAAGCTTTGAGAACGATGGAGCAGGAAGCTCACTCGTAATTTAAGAAAAGTTTTTATTTTATTTTAGGCAACAAAAGCTTAAGTCATGAATAAAGACATAGGGGACAAAGCGATTGATAGTATTTCCAGAGTTCCGTAGGACTGGAGCCTGGGATTATTACATGGGGGAAAAAAGAACAGAGCCAAACAGAGCTAGTTTATCTTTGCATAAAAGAAGGAAGAAGAGCTTGACAAAGAGCAGGGAATAACAGTATTTGGACCATGGGATCTAATCTAAATGACAGGAATAAAAATAAATAGAAACTCTTAATACACTAGCATTCTGTTTTCTTTATATCACTCAGATGCAAACTTTAAGGTTCTAGGCCTAACCCTGCAGAATCTGTTTCCCATAAAATCCCAATGGCAATTTTCAAGTATTTACTCAGCCACTATTGATCGCTCATTTACATATGAGTCAATCAGTAAGTCAGAAAACCCCAGGAATATTGAAATGAGCAAGATAGTCCTCCTCTCAAGCCTGTTAACTTTCGTGGAGGGGGATATAAGTAGGATGTCAAAAATTACAAGAAGGGCATACTAATAAGTATTTGAAAGAATGGGGTCTGGACCAGACTACCTAAGGGTGTTCCTGTTTCATCACGTACTAGCTGTATGATAGGGGGGTGGGGGGTGGGGGTGGTGAGGGCGCAATGTATTTAACCCTTTACCCTCAGCTTTCTCATCTGCAAAATGCAGAAATGATGTACTTCCCATGCAGGGTGTTATGAGCATGAAGTAAGATAACCTATATAAAATGTTAGGCAAAATGACCGGCACATAGTAAGGACCCATCAAATGTCACAGAGAAGTAATACTACTGTGTTGCTAGATAACAGACCAGGATGACGTCAGTGAGGCAAAAAGTGCTCCAAAGCTTTAGTAAGTTGGAGATCCTCTTTGTAACGGATGAAGGGAATCAAGAAGGCTGTGGTGGGAAAGGTAGCATTCAAGATCAACCATAGCTAAACACACACAAATGATTAGGCTTTTAGAAAAATCCTCTGAAGATAATTGAAAAGCTAGAAAATGAGCTACTTTAGTGGAAAAAAACACAAGGCCATGAAATTAGACATTATTTCCCAGGATTTGGTGTGAAAGTAGGTATCTACCATAACAACACAGTGAGGGAATGTTACAAAGAAGAAAATATATGTATTGCTACTAAGAAAGATATAATATCTCACTGAATCCTGTTTTATTCAACTGTAATGCAAAATGACACTATGGCTTTTAATGGAACTTGGCAAGCTCTAGACACACCATTTTTAAACTTAGCTTTGAATTTAAATCATAGGGCTTGTGACTCAAATCTCCAATGTGACCTTTACAGGGTATTGTTCAAGAAAACATGTCTGTCACTGTGCAGCAGAACTATACACCCTTTTATTCTGGAAAGTATAATAAAAGATGTACTATATTGTTATAAGCACAGAGCCACAGAGTGGTTGTGACTTTGATTTTCTAGAAGCAGTGAAAACAAAGACTCTATTTGATTTTGCATCGTTCATTTAGAAATGTTGTCTTATCCCATTAATGAACATTCCTATTTCCCCCATACTCTGGACTTTATTCAATTCAAAAGAAGCTTAGCAGGAATCTCATCATTTATAGATTTAAAATGTAGTCCCTCTGAAGTCCCTTTTCAAGGGACCTACTGAGCCTTGGCTTACTAAGCCATGCTACTTTGTCCTTGTCAGACCCATATAATACCATACTAAACAGAAGTGCCGAAAGCACATAAGGCTTGAATTCTCCCACATCCTCCCTGCTTTCTGGCCCTGGGAAGTCTGCATGAGGAGAATGAACCTGCAAAATACCGGGAAGCATCCTTCCCTTTCCACTCTTCTTTATCCTTTCCACTGAATTAGAAAACCCCACCAACTCATCTTCCCATTCATCCAACTCATGACATTATACTTCATGCACTATCATAAGCTTCTTCTAGCTGGTTTTACTTCTTGTAGCTCATCCCGAAAACAATTAAAAGGTTAGTCATCCTCTCTGACTGATCTATGGTGGTGATAAATATCTGAAGAAAAAAAATGAATGAACTACATAAATGAAATAAAATCCAATTCTAATTAAGTATATCCACTACTGAAGAACCTACAATAGGTCCCTATATTTTCAAAGATCAGATCTAAGCTCCTCATTAAGAACAGATGTTACCACCATCCTCTCTAACTTTAAAACAGACTGTTTCTGACCTACACCCTTGGGTCAAATAGAAGTGGTTTGTTCATGATATTATAGGGAATCTCAACTAGAGGTGCATCACAATCATCCAAGTCTACTGAACTAGAATCAGCGGGTGAATGGTATCACCCTGGGCACTGTTAAAAATGCTCCACAGGTGACGCAGATGTATACCACTTGTTAACCTCTGCTCTGCCTTCTCTTCTGTGTATCAACCCACCTTTCACAGCACACTAGAAGCCTCACCTTCAGAGAATCTTTCTAGGCCACAACAATATTTCATCCCTCTTCTAACTTCTCATTATAGGGTTAAAATATTTTAAACTAGAGACGATTTTCCACTGATTCTCTTGCTTGACTCTATACTAGTATCACACCCTTGTGTAATCTCCTCCTCCCTACCTTGAGTGTGGGCTGGATTTAGTGACTTCTGATGAATGGACTATGGCAAAAGTGACGGAAAGTGACATCTCTCTTGTGCTCTGACTCTGATGACAGCAACTGTTTCATTGTGAACTGCCCAGTAAAGTGCTCATTTGGCAAGGAACCGAGGGAAGTTTCCAGCTAATGACCAGCAAATAACTACTAAGGCCCACAGTCCAACACAGGAGGAAGTGAATCCAGCCAACTGCTGAGTGAACCTGGAAATGAATCCTCCCCCAGTCGAGTAGGGGGTCCGTAGATCCTGCCTCAGGCAGGATGACCATGAGTCTAGACCAACACCTTGACTGGAGACTTGTGAAAAACTGTGAGCTGGAGGATTCCCCTTCCCAATTGTGATGGTTAACATTATGTGTCAACTTGGGCAGACCGCAGTATTCAGATGCTCAGTCAAACATCAATCTGGATATTGCTGTGAAGGTATTTTTTTTTTAGATGAAATTATCATTTAAATCAGTAGACGTTGAATAAAGCAGATTACCCTCCACAATGTGAAGATTACTCTCCAATCAGCTGAAGACTTTGAAAGAAAACAGACTGAAGAATCCCAATAAAGAGGACATTCTGCTTGTGGACTGAAACATAACTCTTCTTCGGATCTCCAGGATGCTGGCCTGCTCTGCAGATTTTGGACCCACCAGTCTCCATAATAGCATGAGCTAACTCCTTATAATCTCTCTCTCTCTCAATAAATAGAGCTATAGATGTATATGTGCATATGTGTGTGTGTGTATGTATATAAGTATGCACATACATGATATACACACTATTGATTCTGTTCCTCTGCTAAGTTTCAGGATAACCTGTCAAACTAATTGCATAACTGATACGAGACTCCTCCTTGCTCTAGTACTTATCAGACTGAGTTATAATTCCTTTTTAAATTCCTCTCTGATTAATCAGAGCCTTATAGCTCCCAATACTAAGCCTGGTATATGGCACGTATTCAGTACCTATTTGTTAAATAAACTCACGAGTAAGTGATAAAGCATCAGCAGCAGTGTCTTCACATAACCACCTGCTGCCAAAGCAAAAGCAAAGCAAAACAAAACAACAGGAAGGACGTAATTCCCCCCAACTAATTCATTGTCTGTAGTTACAGGCATATTCAAAAAGGATACAAATAAATATGAAGATTGTAAGATGACGTGTATATGTCTTCAATGGTGAGCAAAGAAGTAGACCTGAAAACTGTGGCACATTTGGAGACTGGAGTGGAGACTTTCAGGAGTTGGAGAAGAAGACCAGTGTGAACTCCAGAGGTGCACGTGTGAAATTCTGTAGTGTGGCTTAGAGCTATTGGCAGGGTTTTGTATCAGACAGACTTTGACTTGGAGTGTGTGTTCCTGAAGATGAACGTGGCATCAGTG